TGACTTACCTTTATTCAAAATATTGACTTGTTCGGAAGGTTTTTGATCCTGTTAAATATTAACCCAAAAACTGAAAGCGAGTTACTCGGTTCAAGCAAAGCATTTTGAACGAAATGGGAACTATGTGTTAACAATCCTCAAACTTACGGCAAGTAGAGAGCCCCGAATGTCGAAAGAACTGCTGGTGTGTGGGCGAAGAAGCCAAAAGTCTTTACGTACATGTTGGTCTTGTAGGCTTGATCTCTCCAAAGAGACCATTCAGGTGGTTGGAAATGCAACACTTGGTGGGCAATAGGTGTGCTGAGTAAAATGTTCGCAGTACAGTTTCTTAGCGCAGCTACTGCTAATTGTGCGCGGTTGGAAGTGGGAGATAAGGCCGCACAGCAATGGAGATACAGGTGAAGGAGGAAAGCCCTGAAAGTTGACTGGTGGAGCCCACCAGTCAACTTTCAGGAATTCCTCCTTCACCTGTATATTTGGAGACTCCGGTCGGTTACGCCTAATTCAGAAGCGGCCCGTTCAACAGTTGTATGCAGATTTGATTTGATCGAAACCATCAATAATCTTTGCCAATCTCCGATATCAACCCTAATCTACTTCGAAGTTATCACCATCGCGGAAAAGGCATTTTGAATCACGACAGCACAGGGTATTTTTCGCGGGTCCGACCAAATGTTCACTTGATGTCGAGATTTGCTTCCTCACTTTTCCGGCCAGTATGAGGGGGCACAAAAAATTCATGTGAACGGTCTGTTGAGTATGTTGTTTCCGAGACTTGTAAATAGGTAAAAGTGATTCATCGTGAAAAGCAAAGCACTTGTAGACAGGCAGAAAACGCGCCTTCCAGTGGCTTATAAGATGCCTGCAATTTCTTGAGCTGTTCAGAAACTAAGCATTTGAAATTGAGCTACCAAAAACGATGCAAACCTTCCGAACAACCAAAGTTCCAACTGGATCAGCAATGACTAGTCAAGAACTCCCAAGAGAAATTTTTGTCCATTTTCTAATTCATTCGGCCCCTTGGCCCTAGAGGGTGCGGCAAATATTGAGAAGTCTCTGAGCCAAAAATCATTCAGAGCGCAGAAAATGTGCGTAAATTGTATATGGACCAACTCCAAGAAGCTCAGTAAAACCGTGGAAATCCTTTGATGGCTTCCGTAGCCTCACTAGCTCACACGGACCCTAGTCATTTATTGATTAAACATGCGTGAAATAAGCTTTCTTCCAATTAATTATTAAATCATAGCTGATAGATTAAATGACGATTTTCAGAATTCCATGCCAAAAGTCAGCTACATCAAAGGACTAGATGTCTTTCTGAATTTTTGGTGAGTCCAACTATTGTTTTCTTATGGTTGATGTCGCCAAAAATTTGGCTAGGCCCTGTGCTAAACCACGTACGAAGCCCGGGCTATCCGCCCAACCTCCTCGCTGCGCCGCCGCTTACGCCCGCTGATTTGTCAATCTTCTGCTCTTCAAAGTGCTCCCATCTTACTGGTTCCACCAAAATTTGAAAATTTCCAGTTTCGTGATGGTTTTTGCCTCATTGGTCGAATACGCGGTCGTGTCGTACATGAACAAGCGAATCGTGCTTCGTAGAGAAAAGCGGCGACGTCAAGCCGAACAGCAGCAGCGGAACGAAGTGCCGATGTTCAGCAATCCTGTACTCCTAAACAACCCAACAACAATGTGAGTCTTCATTTTTTCGTATAACTTCGTCAGTACAGTCCCGTTTCTCTATGCAAGTCTGACCATACGACACGAGTGGAGGGGAGTTCATTGAAAAATGTTCCATGATAACCGCAGAAGTAATGTGGACTCTTCATGCCGCCAAAATCGGATGTTATAGGCAGCTCTCCATTAAGAACTAAGACGGTTCAAGAGTGGGATATCGAGGCACTTGCTGATGATCGTTAACCCTGATCCTTAGTGGTGCATTAACCAATTCGCTGCTCGAATGCACTGTCCATAATAGAGGCTGCTTGGTATAAACGTCCATATGTATAGGCTCAGGCCGAAGACTAGGCGGAAGAGATCTAGGATGGTCTAAGGTATTCACGATTGCGATCATTTAAAAGAACCGGTATTTTTTTTCATCGGCGAGTAAAGCATTGCGGGTATCAGCAAGAAGCGTATGTTCCTATGTGTGCATTCGTCATATGCTTCCGTCCAAGGTTGAGGTCGTATTGGACTAAACTTTGCACGATACTGACCACTTCTCCGCCCAATGCTGAATGCACGGCGCGTTTCGTGAAGGGCTGCGTCAGCATTCTTTCCCCCAGACCGTAATGAAAACCTATGGTAAATCATTTGAGATCTTAGATCGGTATCTACTGGCGTCAAATGCGCATGCTCCCTTAATGATCCTAGGAAAGCATTCCTTTTTTTGCAATTGCTTTTACATACAGTTCACCGGAGAGCTTTGGTGACGGCGAAGTATCTTAAGGATCCGACCTTGACTTAGTCCAGGCTTTGTTGCCTTGAAGAAATCACCCATTTGCTCTAACGATAAGACCCGGTTGCAATATCCATCTATTCGTAGATTAAAATATTGGAACTATAGTGGGCGTCTCCTATGATACAGCCAGCGCAGCCAATCTTTTTGGCTTGGCTATTCTTTCCACGGAAAAAATGTCCTGGTTTTTGTCAAGGTTTCTTTCCAAAAACACTGCCATTTTCACTTTCCGCTTAAGAGCGAACTTGGAAGTTCTTCACTACTTACCAAGCACTATGCAGTAGGAGATTAAGTTCGAAAGAGGCCTCTAATTACGAGCACGGCTTGATGAAATTGGGTGTTATTTTCATAATTCCGCATTAATCTTGATCAAAAAGCAAAGAGGAGCTTTCAGAGCCCTTTCCAGCTTTATTTCCTACGGCATGCAAGAAATGATTCATCATTTCGTGGCTTTGATTAACTTCCGCGCAATGTGACCACTGGCGCTTACTCTTCCTTTTTTTTCTGCGACCATTTGCCCTGTGGGATCCACAACGCTTTAGTTCCGTGATGACCTAAGAAGAGAAAATTGAGGGACTATCACCAAAAAATTTCATCAAGCAAAAATGAAATACAACGAAAAAAAACACAGGGTGGCTGTATCATTTGGAGACGTTGGAAAAGCGACCCTTTTTGGAAAAATTAGGAATAAAATTTTTTCGCATTTCAACCTGGAATTTTGTGTTGATTTTCGAATTCGCGACCAAATTTGACACAGTTTTCCTGTTGGACATTTTTCCAGAAACTTTGTGGAATTCGAGATTTTGAACAATTTCTAGGTGGCTGTATAATTAGGAGACGCAGTGTACTTCAAGACGTTAATGGAAAGAAAGCGCCTGCAAGATTCGGGTGCTTAAGTCGCTTCCTAGAGTGGGAGAGGTCCGCCTCAGTGCAGGAAGATTCAAAAGTGCGAGACAACGGCGCTATGGCCTCGCCTTGTTGTCAAGCTGCCATCATTATCAATCGCGACGTGCGTAGCGTTTGCGCTCTCTTGCGTACGACATGCTCTCTCGCATTTTCTCCCTTGTCGTAGCGACCACGGCCAACCTCACAGGGGAATTTTCAGGGATTCTATGGCGCTTTTTGCTTCTTCATCCCTCTGGCGTTCGTCATCAGACTTCTTGTCTAATTTTTTAACTTTTGAATACACACCACTTCGATCCGGACCCGTGCCTTGAGAGCACATTATTATTGAATGCCTTTCTTCGGTAGACGAATAGTAATTTCCACTTTTTTCTACGCTATGTCCTCCACTTGAGCAGGTTTTGGCAGCACGGCATTTGGGCTTCGAGTGTTTCATTTTTCGAATGCTACCATTTTGTATTCATTATTGATAACGAGTGAGTTTCTTACTAACCGATTTGCATTTGTAGAGCTACGAGATGGCAGTGATCTCGCAGAATTCGACTCCAGCAAAGAGTTACGCGCCGCATGTAAGTGAATTTTTATAGTGTTTACTCGAAGTTAACACATTGCAGCCCACGTGCATCGCCCGGTATGCACATTGATTTTAAGCTTCCTTACATCTTTTTTCATTACTTCTGTGACTATAGAAGTTCCACTAGTGCCTTGAATCCACTAAACACATGGCTGCTCTCCATCTTCAATTTCAAGATACTTTTGGAACTTCAATTTGCACAACCAGTGCCTCAGTTTGAACCCTCATAAACTGTTTAACAATAAACTCCAATGGCTACTAATTACTGAATATATTTTCTGATGAGAAGCCGAGCAAAAAATAGTAAGAAGCGAAAGAAAAACGAGAAAAAGTAGAACAAAGAAAGGACAAAAGCAATACGTTGCCAGCCCAATGGGGAGGTTGCAGTTGAGATTGTGTGGGTCCTGTGGCGAAATACATGGGTCTTGTAGCGAGATATATGGGTCCTGTAGAGAAATTCCACAAAATGTCCCGAATGTGAGATTTGTGCATCGCCGGGTATGCACGCAGGTAATGCAGCTATGTCACATGTGTGACATGCGCCGAAATCAGTGCGGGCGTCAATGTGTGTCAACCGTCACGTTGGACGTATT